CGATTGGACATCACTGAGATAAATGTTATTGGTAGGCAACGCGCTTTAGAGTTTGATGACATCAAGTCTTAGTACCTTTTAGCTAAAAGTGGGCCCTCTTGATAAGCGGATAATTTAAAGATTGTTACTTCTAATCTTTAATGAAAAGTGTAGCAAATAAAGAAGTTTACGCGACAAAAGATGGGATTGGTCGATTTATTAGTTCATTTAACCTTATCTTAGAATGCTACAACTCAAGGGAAGACACTTGGCGCCAGAGAAGGATAAAAAATTTTCATAAGCTGCGCAGTTTTTGCAATTGCCTGCACAAAATTACTTAGCGAAAAATCGGGCACCTAACCTGATCCCATTACAGCAGCACAAGCTGCGCATCTGTAAACTTTCGTTTAACTCGTTACAAGTTGGGAGCCTTACACTTTTACTAAGACCGCTCGTCATATGTGTTTATTTTTTTGAATTCTGAGTGCATTTTGAATGCGTCTGCTGACAACATAATTACCCGGCGTCTACTCTACAATTGAAATGTCGTCCTGTAGGATTCACTTCAAGGACTTGGTCAAGCATTAGCTCTCGTATTGCCCTAACCATTCTTTTTATTTCACGCTCGTTGACCAAAGGAGCCTTGTTATGCTGTGGAGTAATGACCTTGACTTCATATCACCAAACTCATACTTCAGTTTCTTCTGTCAACTTCAGAATTTTGAATGCGTTTCCACACCTTGTCTACCCTTTTCCAATGGTCAACCACATAGAACCCCATTGAATGCATATTGAGATTAAATAGACATTAATATTACCCAACTAAAACTTTACCTTCAACTCACAACTAGTCCCTACTAATTGATCTTCTATTGCCTTGACTTGCCACAGCAACAGCTATCGCCCGCACATACCTTAATTCTATTTAATCATATGGGAGGTGGTTCCAAAGTTCATTTTCGACGAGAAGCATGTTGGGATAATTCATTGACTAAAAATCTGCTGTAGCATAGTCTACGGTTCAAAGTGTTTTGGAAATGGTGCAATTCTGATCAAGTGGAATGACTGAAAAATGCAAACCAGCTTTAATTGGCCGCTTCAGAACAAAAGAAATTGTAAATTAGGCAAGCCAAAAATACCCGGAGGACCCAAAAAAGTAGTGATGGATATCCACAAGAGGCAATGAAAGGTATGCGTGCACACGCACATACACAGAAAAGGAGAGTGAGAAAGGAAAGCGAAAGTCAATAGCGATACCCTAATTTGGGCGATTTGAAGAGCGTTGACGATTTCTGAAGGCTTTTGCATAGGGATTTGTGTTGATCTTCGCCTCAGTGATGCATCTATTACGATAGGCAGTGACGGCGACGAACTCTGTCTCTGGAATGACGTAGGTGCCTACATATTCAAGGTCTGCTGGCAATTCGCTTCGACATGCCCCTTCACTTTGTTGACGTACCGCTACCTCCTCTAATGTCAGATGACGTACTATGTGGTAGCGTGGAAGGTAGATCTGCATGCTGTGAGCAAATATCTAGATAAGGGCAATGCAAACCTCAGATTGATTGTTCGAAAAAGGAAATCAAGTCGACGACTAAATGTTTACTCAGAAGCAGAGCTGGGACGGGCACTGACAGCAGGAACAATTACCTGGTTCTTGCCTACAGCCGTGGTTGCCTTATTAGTGATCATGGCAAGTCTGAAATCCACGCCAGTCGCCATCAATTTCCATCCCATTTCGTATGCATCGCGCGACACATGAATGAGAGATGCTGGAAGGAATGTAACGGTGTGTGTGAGGGTAAGAATCATACAGGCATTTACGATGACAAACACTTAGTGCTTGACAACTCACCTTGGTTTGGTGGAGGATAGGGCTTAAGAGTCCGAAGGGGCGTCCAATGGCTGGACTGAAATCTGTAGATATTCTGCCCTTTTGGCATCAGATCCAAAAAAAACGTGTACCTACCATTGGACTGTAGACCCTCGACGCTAACGGTGAGTGTGGGGAATATTCGCCTGCAAAGGAATTTGTGGCTCACATTAATCAATCCATTGAATGGGTCAATGCTGACAGACACAAAATACTGAAAGAAGGGAGAAAAATGAAAGGCGAGATTATTCACCTGCCACCATTGGCGATAACCATCTCCATTTTGTTGGACCCCGTTGCCCGCCACTTTTCCTTGTCTCGCAATCGTAGAGTGATTGCTGAACGCCTCGCTGGATTTGAGGGCTGAAAATCCGCTCCTGCTACACAAATAGATGAGAACTCCTCTGTTCTACCGCCGAGTTGTGCAGGCCACACGTTGGGTACGCTCCGGGCGATGGCCAGCATTTTTGAGTAGAAAGTCCGGTTCACAGCTGACGAGAGGTTGGAATGACTTAGCAGTGCTCCTAATCTGACTGGTGCATCATTTATTCCTACTCCATGCAACAGTTCTCCATGATTGCCTCCTTGGCTTTCTTCAATTGCACCGAACAAGTTTGAAGTAGTGGTGGGAAGATTAGTGGTTTGGTATGGATTTCGCGTCACCACACCAGGTGTTTGCCAACTACTGCCTTCCTGATAGTGTAGAGCACTGTCGTAGTAAGCTTGCTGCTGCTGGGATGGTTGGTGTTGCTGCATGTGGAGCGCAGCATTGCAGTATTGGTAGTCATTCTGATTTCGGTGGCATTCCATTGTGGTCGGATCTGGCTGGAAATACGTATTGACAGCATGGTTAATTTGACATTGTCTTGGTAACGGGTGAGTATAACGTTGAGAGTAAGGGTATTGAGTTGAGGCGCCTGTATTGTAAGTGGGTTGAATTGTCCCTAGGTGGGAAACTGTGCAATATGAAGATGAAATATAAGATGTGCCTGCATGTTGCACAGGCATTTGGAGAATTTGAGAATTTTGCAGCTCCTCTGGTAAAAGTGCACGTGAATCGGACAGTAAAGGGGGCAAGGCTGCTGACACCGCCATTTCGGGGACAATATGGTGATCTAGGATTTCCTCGCCTTCGTTGACATATCCTCCCGACCAGGTGTAATGTCCATCCATTTGGCAGTCTTAAAAGTATGCAAATGATAATAAGTAGTCTCTGGGCTAATGCAGGTACTTGGATTGAAGACACCTATTTCAGGATTTATATTTCAGCATAAATAGCTCACGGAATAAAACATGGTTATCACTCTGTGTAGTGTGGAAGTACGCCACCATGGGTAAAAGCACACTGCAAATGTTGGCACAAAAACGTGGTAAACAGCTTGCCTACCTCGTAGTCTGCACGGATTATTAGGACCGGATCTAATAACAAAAACAGTAGTATTCGGCTAGTTATGCCATCGGGTTCGTTAACCAATGATTGCCAAAACGTATGAGCTGGGGGTTCATCAGCTACCAATGAAAGGTCATTTGGTGGTTCGCAGGCGCATTTAATTGGATACTCTCACGAAGTAAAACGGGCTCCTGGAAGATCCGACCTGACATTCAACATCAATGCACGTGTTTTGG